GTAAGTGGGATCAAAATGGACTTGTGTTTGTTGACCTTAGCATTTGATGCCTTTTCATATTTGTTAATAGTATTTGTAAAGCTATCCCAGTCTGTTGTGGAGCTGAATCCCACTGTCAGATCATCTGCATATACTGCTAGTTTAAAAGCATAGTTGTTAATGTTGATGCCTCATATGTTTTGTTGTAAAGCTACTAAGAGTGGATTGAAAGCTATTATATATAATAGTGGAGATAATGGATCCCCTTGTCTAACCCCTCGCTCAACTTTGAAGGGTTCTGAGATTTTACCGCTTGCTGTAATATGTGCTTGTTGAGTTGAAAAAAGCATGTTGACGATTCTGGTGAATTTTGGGTCAAAGTTCATTTTTTGGAGGACTGTTTGCAAATAAGAGTGGTTAACTCTATCGAATGCTTTTTGTTGGTCTAGTAACAGGAGCCAGTGCTGCTTCAACTGGTCAGTTTGGTTTCTTAGCACTGTTAGAATGTCCAGTGCGGTGTTTGTTATGGATCTTCCTCTAATAAAGGCTTGTTGTGCTGAGCCAATAAGGAGATTACATATTGGGTTGATGCGATTGGCCATAATCTTCATAAAGATTTTAGCATCACTATTTACAAGGGAAATAGGTCTCCAATTGTTAATGTCCTCTAGGTTGCCTGATTTCTTTAGGATCAGAGTAATTATACTTTTGTTTCAGGAGTTAGGCATATCCTCTGAGTTAAGTACATAATTGAAGAGTTTTGTTAGGAAGAGAAGGAGTTCCTCTTTTGTATCTTTGTAGAATTCGTAAGTGAGTCCATCTGATCCAGGTGTTTTGTTGCAAGGTAGTGCATCTATTGTACTGCTTACTTCTTCCTCAGTTATTTGTTTAACCAGCTGTATGTTGTGTTCTTCTGTGACTTTAGGAAGATTCTGTGTTAGCTCATTTGTCGCCTCCTGATCAGAGTCTTCTGCCTTGTATATTTCCTGATAGGTGGTCTTGATATATTCAAGAATTTCGAGAGGTTTGTCTAAATTTGTATTATTGGGATCCCATATTTTGGAGCAGCTTGAAGTTGTGTGCTTGGATTTATAGAGTGAAAAGAAGTATCTTGTAGACTTCTCTCCTTCTTCAATCTATTTTGCATTAGACCTTATTTGCCATTTTTCAGAGAGAGATACTAATTCTTCTTGAATTTGAGCTTTTGTGTGTTCAGCAAGAAGGTTAAAGTCTTCTTGCTCAGGGTTTTGGGCCAGTTTGTTGTTAAGGTTATTCAGCTTCTTGTGAAGTTGTTGAATTCTTCTTTCTGGTGTAGGTTTGGGTTTGTAAGCCCTGATTATTGATTGTATTGCACATTTGTAGAGATCTCAGTTCTGGATCTCTTGAGTATCTTTAATAATTCCTCTTATTTCTGTCTCTACTTCTGGTATAGACCAGCATTTTCTATCGAATTACCAACATGATGCAGACTTGTGTCTGAATTTACTTGAAATTTGGCTTTCCACTAGCAAGTGATCTGAGTTACCAAAGCGAGTTTGGGTTTCGAAGTTGAGACAGCCATAGTTGGTATCTACAAATATGTAGTCCAATCGAGTAGCCATTTTCTAATTGCCTTGTGTGTTTGATAAAAGGTCAGAAAGGGGTCATCTTTTGAGAAGCTTGCTGTGTCTACAAAATCCTTTAAAAGTTCTTGAAGTATCTCTCTTGAGTTATCCTTTTGTATTGCCGCCTGGCTAATACAATTGATTTTGGGGTCAAGGTTTGTATTAAAGTCCCCTGCTATTATATTTAATGCATTGGTATCTAGTGTTGGAGCCCAGTTGCTAAAAAATTGATATCTGTCTTCATAGCTTGGAGAAGCATAAATATTTGTGACTGCATATTGGCAGTGTTTATATGTTAGTTTGGTTGAAATTATCCAGTCATTGTATGAAACTTTAGTTTCAACAAACTTGATGTTTGCTTTTCCTGCTAAAATAGCTGTTTTGGTGGTCCAAATTAAATCATATCTCCACTGTTGTGAGAGAAATGTTTTTGTTGCCATGTCTTTGAGATTTGTTTCTTGTAAAAAAATTAAGTCTATTTTATATGATTTTAGTAAAGTTAAAGGCCTTTTACGTTTAGTGTGGTGATCTTGATCATGAGTTAATATGTAGGTGTTAGCTATACTTGTGGTTGTTTCATTGGTTAGACATGAGGAGAAGTAACTCCTTGGGAGTTATTTCCCTTATCTACTTTGTTGACTCTGGTAAGTGGCGAAAAGCCTCCTTTCTTCAATTTGCTCTTATACTTTCCTTTTTTTGAGATAACTAAGATAAATTCTCTTTCCTCTTTGTTACTTTTTTGCACTACCAGGTGCAATATCCATTTTCACATCTGTTGATGTGGTATCATTTGTAGGTGTATTTACAGCCTCCGGTTCATTTTCAGTTGTTTCCATCTCGTTAGTTTCTGTAATTGTGTTTGTGAGTTCTTTTTCCTCTGTTTGAGATGTCTCTGGAGAGGTTGTCTCATTTGGAGTTTGAATTGTGTTTTGTTTCTCCATGCTACTTTCGTCTGCTTTTTCTAAGACCATTTCTGTAGCATAAGGATTTTCTGGGCTAAATTGAGTTTGTGTTTCTACTTCGTTTAGGCTCTGCTTTTTTGCTTCTAGTTCTTTTTGTTTTGAAGCTTTTAAATCTTTGCAGTTTTTCTTGATGTGCTCTGATTTTTCGCAGTAATAGCAAACTTTTGGGGCTTCTTTCCAATCTGTTAAGACTTTGTGGTCACCTACATGGGTGTATCTAGGAAGTCTTTTAGCTAGGTCAGGGTCCTCCGTGGTTTCAAAGGTGATAATCCATTGGTCTGAACATATTGATGTTCCTTCAAATAAGAGTAGTTTAATTGATGCAATAGTGCCTACATCTTGAAACGAGTTTATTTATTTGTTCCTTATCTCCCATCAGCATATTTCTCAACTTGACTGAGAGAAAATTATGCTTGAGGTTTACTGGGATGTAACCAAATAGAGTTTGGTTAAAGATACTAATTCCTTCTGAAGCATAAAGCTTTTGTTTGTCTTTGTTAACAAAGATGGTTTCTAGAAAAGCACGCTTTCCTCTTTGCATATGTGTTTTGGCTGCTAGTAGGTCTCCCCCTAATTTAGTTGCCAAAGCTAAATTGATGTCATTTGTAGAGATATTTACCAGATCCTGAATATTAAAAATGAGTGCATTTTCATTTTTAGAGAGTATTTTTTGTTTTGGTGTAGCATTTGTAAATGTGGCCTTTCCCTCTTTTAGTTTAGAAAAAAGTTCTGACCATCGTTTGTTCTCAGAAGGTTGATTCCCTGTTCTGAAGGTTTGTGTTTCCCCGGTTTGGGTGCTGGGTCCATCCTTTGGATCAGGATCTGCTGTTTATGTGTTGTCACGTATTGTGTTTACGTGTTTTTGTTTGTTGTTTATTTTGTTTGATGTGTTTGCGTGGTTTGTTGTGTTGGAAGACTCAACATATGCTTCTTGTTGATCGCCAGAATTTACAATCTCATTTTCTTTTGTCTTTGCCTATTCTTTTTCTACTTGGTTAGCCCAGTTGGCATCAGGCTTATCAAGATTCATATTTGTTGACATGTTCACTTCTAACTTGAGGCTGCTGTTGTTGTTATTGTTGTTGTTGACTAGTTCTACAATATTTTCTTTGTTTTCTTTATCAGTTTTTGTAAAGTTGAAAATTTTGTCATTGTTTGCAGAAAGCCTGGGTTTCTTGTTGTTTGGTTGCTTACCCATGTTTAGAGTAATAAGTTCGTGCTTCCTGGACCCTGAGGTCCTTGTTTCGTTGGAAAAGTCGAAGATAAAAAATGAACTTTTTTGTAAAATTGTATTTTCGAGTATTTTTCCGAAGGTGAACTGGAAAGAGTTTATTATGAGTAATTGTACATGGAGATGAATATTGTCATGTATTTGGGCCAGAATTTGAGATTGTATTTAGAGAAATATGAGTTTGATTATTTTTTTTAAGAGTAATTGTATTTAGAAAGTTGCAAGTTTTTTTTAGTGTATAACAAAGTAATTAAATAAAATTTATTGTAAAAATATATTAATATTTTTTTAATAAAAAAAAATACAAGTCATAGTCTTTATTCTTGTGAGTCTTCAGAATGTTCTTGATTATTAAATTCGCTACTTGAATCGAATGAATACCTCACTTCCTGTAATATGCTTAAATAATTCTTCTTTCTTTTTGACTTTAGACCAGAATACTTATTTTGCGCATTTTCACGAAGCTCAAGAAGTGTTTCTATTTTGAATAAAATTTCTGCATTGCATATATTTTTTTCACTGTTTTGTATATTGGCTTCTTGCTTTGTAATTAGAATAGGCCTAAAAAATAGTAATGGTTTTTTGTTAACAAATGTTTCAATTATATAATTTTGTCATGATTGTTTTGCTAAATTCGTAAAATTTTTTAGCTGTTCATTCAATTCATATTCATCTCCTAAACTTCGACAAACAGTTCTTGTGCTTGTCAAATTAATGAATTCACAGCTTCTTAAATAAACTCAAAATCTTCAGTATTCCATAGTTGATTCTGGTTAAGTTCTCAGTCCTTGCGTTTGAAGATCATTATATCCCATTGATTTAAATAAATTATTTCTAAGCTAAAGCATATTATAAGTAAATAAATCAGAAAAATAACTGTTAGAAAATTATTTGATTATCATATTATTTCATGGATATGCACATTCGCGAAATCATAGAATTAAATAAATCAATTAATTTATACTTCAAAAAATTTTTACAATTACAAGCCACAATTTTCCAATGATGGTTTTGTAGGACAGGAGGTATTAACGATTTTAATATCTTGTTAATTTCCTCTAGAATCATGTCTAATTCTTGATGCTGCTCATAAATACCAGATCTAGATACTACACAATTTTTTTCTATGATCTCACGCACTTCTGGATGAAGCTGCATCAATTGCATCTTATCAGCAGCTTCGATTAAACGGTAGATAGAATAATATCTTGCCAACCAAACCAGTGAAAATACTCTTCTAGAGGCTCTTTTCAAGAGAGGATTATTTATTCTTATAACTTTCTGATAATTAACAATCGCTTGAAGATAAATGAATATCTATTATTAAAAAAAAATTAATATTTAATGAGTTATAAATTACTATAATAATGCACTTATTCTATTTTTAAAAAGACAATATTTTATAAAAAATATAACAATATAAAAAAAACTCTCTCTCTCTCCACCACCGAATAGTGGAGAGTATAGAAAAAACACAACGACAAACAAAACTAGATATTCGACTTCTAAACTATTATCAAGGGTTAGGGCCCTTGTACCCAAGAAATATAAGCAAGTGTGCTTAAACATGTCAAGTTCCACAGCAACAGGACAGAACAGGAAAATTAAAAAGGCCAGAACTTCTA